CAGGCCCAGTTCAGCCAGTGTCAGCGTGGACAACTGACGTACCACCAGCACCAAGTCACCTACTGCTTGCACCTCCTGCAGCTCCCACAGGGCCTCTTCCAGCCCTTGTCTCGGCCGATGGCTGTATGGCAAGGCTGACTGACTAAAGCTATTGAAAATAAAAATAACAACAAAAAGCAGCTTGGAAATGAACAGTACTGTCAATATTCATAGGACTAAATTTGATAAGCAATCTGAGGAATTGCCTTGAAACTTTTTTGGGGGAGGATAGGCAATGCACTGGTGCATGGTGCATACAGCACAGTCGTGTATAAACTCAAATTACTGTACTGCAAGGATTTCTGCCATTTCAGACACATTTTTTGCTCCCTGCTTCACTGGTTACCTATGTAACTAGTTACTTATGTAAGTACGGATGAAAGTTAAATTTTCACCCCAACAACTACAAGGAACTTTGCCTTCTACGGGTAGTCCATCTATCTGACCAGGGTTACTTCCACGCCCTTCGTTACCGCAGCATCTCAGAATTCATGACCTTATGCTGGATGGAGAGCAGGCAAAGCCTTTAAAACACCATTAGCTGAACTACCAAGCTACTTTGGAGAGGGCAGCAAAGCCAAGCCAACAGTCCTTCGCAAGGATGTTAAGCCACGACGTTTACTGATGCTTCTCAAGAGCTGGAAATTTAAGTGTTGGCACCTGTTTTTAAAGATTCGGTATCAACCACCTTTCACCTCCTTCTGGTGGAGCTGTAAGAGTGGTGAGGTCCTGCAGAGGGGCCAGTAACGCGCGCCGGGGCGAGGGATGGGAACCACCATTGGCGAAGCTGTTTATGAAGGGAACCGAAGGATCAGCGTAGTCCAGGCGTCAGGCTTCACACGTCGACCAACAGAAGCCTGCGCCTGGGGAGAGCCACCAGCCCTCCACGCTCCTGTCCTGGTCACCGATGCAGCTCCCCGGCTGGGAGAAGGGACAGAGCTACCTCAGCTTTTTTTGACTATCACCACCAACAAATGCTTAGTGGGAAACACCTCCTAGACATCCTGAAATCGGGAGAATACCTTAATAATGCCTCTCAGCACTTTGTTTGCTCTGGTGCTCTACCTCACCACGCCATTCCTCCTACTTGTTACATTTGGGACCTCGGTGATACCTGGGAAAGCGAGAAGCTGCGCGAAGCATTATTAGCTCGAATATCTTTTGACATCACATTGAATGGTCACGTGACTTCTGATACTCAGAAGCAAGAAATTACTAGCTCTTTTGAGCTATGGTTAGCACAAGGGGATTTTTTATGGACACAGATCAAATAGGCCACGGGGACGATAATAGGTCTAACTAAAGCAACGGGATGCACTCCAAGGATATTCAAATTTGGTTTGGAGTGTTTGCATTACAGGAAACCTCTTTTTGGATTATGTTCTGTGAAACAGTTTGCTAAACAATACTTAGTCTCTCTCTTTCATTTTTATTACAATTTAAAAGATTAACTAAAAATACCCTACCAAACTATGAGATCGGTGGAGCAGTCTGATTCAATTGTATTTATTCTGCACGCTCCACAAAATTAGGACACAGTTAATCAGCAACTGCTCTTAATTAGTAAGAAACCTATTTAAACCTAATGATACACACATGGCCAGGGTTGCTGCTGCTTAATGGAGACAGTAGTTCTGCTTAATTGGGAAGCTTTCAGGTGACGTAAGGGTTGAAAACTAATGCTTTGCTCTGCTGCTTCAGGCTCACGGTGGTTCTCTCTCCGTCCCGCTGGGAACGTTTTGCAAGCGGAGCTGACATAGCACCTAAAGAGTTCCCTCGCTGCCGTCTTTTACCTGCTGACTCGTGCCTTCAGCAGCAGCTCTTCCCTGCCAGCTGCCCTCCTGCAGAACAAACTTGCCGTCTGGGGTCAGGGATGACCAAGGCGGAAGGTCTGCCGGCAGCTCCCTTCACCCGGGGGCGTTCAAAGGGTGCTTTTCAGTGGTCATAAGGACTTCACCATTGGCTCGAGGGTTCGGCAACATAGCATGGACTTTCCTGTGACACCTGGCACAGACCAGCAGCCACTACAGCTGCCTGAATGTTTTGGTCAGGAAGTTTAAGTTCTGCAATTCCGGCTGCTGTGACTTCGTCCTCAACGAAGACCCCCTGATTTTTATGTCCTGTATCGCTCCTACCATACCTGACAGCCGCTCGCCAGCCAGTGGGAGACGAGTCGGAAACCTCAGCGCAGCTCCTGGAAGGGCTCCCACTCAAGCCTTTTGTTGGCAGCTGTGGAGGGAAGGGGTCACCCAGAGATTCGGGTGCTTTCTCAAACCTGCAGACGCTCTCCCCGGATCGCGGCACCGTCACCCTCCCGGGCACAAAGAAGCTCGCAGATTAGCCCATCTGCCACGCAGAAGTAACAAAAATTGGCTCAGAGGATGGCAGCTTCTTGTGACCGTTAAATTCACCGCAAATGGCTAAGAAAGGAGGATTTGTAAAGGCAGCATTTCAGACAAGACACCGAAGGCAGGACCAAGGTTGCAGAGCGCGCAGCACTTGGCAGCCATCAGTATAGCGTGAGATGGCTTCGTTCCCACTGACAGTGATCTTCGTGCCACAGCACAGTCCCTCCCATCTGACTAATTAATTGTGCCCGTCGACTGAAACGAGACCTCTCAAACGGTGCCGTGCCGGTCCAGTCAACCCTCGGGGATGAGCAGCAGGACAACACAGTAACGGCGCGAGTTGGGAAGAGAACACGTCTTGTAAAAAAGTGGAGAGGGATGTAACCCCAAGCTGCCCCCAGCAGCCGTCTTTTGGGAAAGACGGAGGTAGGGGAGAGCACAGCAGCCGTACGTAGCTGGAAATAGATTCACTTAAGGGCAGTAGAAGTATTGCTCTACCGATCCTTCTTCCGCTGAACTTTTTTACCATATTCCTTTGCACCTTTGTTGTTTTCTTCTGGGTTTTCACACTCAAAAATGCCCCGCAGAAGCAAGGCAGACACTGCATGACAAAGGCTACGCTTTGAAACCGTGTCTGTGCTAGTTCCTACGTAATGGTCCATGGGGGTTTCAGGAGTATGAGCCTGCTAAGTGTCCGTGTCTGCGCACGGGAGGACAGCTGAATGGCTGAGGCGGGAAAGACCAGAAATTAGGTCTAATTGGTGAGAAATTAGACCAGGATTAGGCACAACAGCAAGGGGAGGGAGGGAGGAGCAGGAAAGATCAGTAATTGCGTAGGCAAAGTGGGAAAGGAGGCTTTAGACAGAGAAGGGTAAGAGATTATACACCAACCCTAAACCAGCCCGGGAGCCAGGGACGTGATGCGCTGTAGTGGTCGGCCCAGGGCGGAGATGGCTCCGTGTCATCTGGCATTCCGTAGCAACTAGTGATGCCGACGCACACGCACTCGGTGTACCTATTCAGAAGTACAGCGGGACTTGTCTCCATCAGCACGTCTGCCTGGCGGGGAATATCCACGCGAGGGGACGTGGCGCCTCTTGGGGCTTTTCTGTGCGTCTTCAGAAAGCGCTGAGCCCCTTCAACTGCCTCCTGTTCAGCTGGATCCTCCCCACTTCCAGCAGAAAGACCCACTGGCATACATCGGGGGGAGAAGCAGCATCACTTCGGCACTACGGTTCCACTGTCCAGGAAGTAAAACAACACTATTGTAACTTCTAGCACAATGCTGGGTTCCAAAAACAACCCCAATCCCAGCCTCCCGTATTCTTAGGAGGCTGCTGTCTGACCCACCCCATTTCAGAACCCTCGCTCCCGCAGCCTCCCTGCTGTTGGCCCCATCCTCTCCTCGCTGGCAGCGAAGGCCTGCGGCGGGACGAGGAGAGGAAATCGGCTCGTCGGCCCCTCCGGGCAGGCAGGTGAAGCGAACACTCTGACCCAGCTTCACCGTAAGCGGAGCGACGGAGGATCCGGAGAGCTCATCTCACGCACAGCACCTCGGCCGTAGCAAACCGGTTTTCGTAGGAGGTGACCGTGATGAGTAAGAACGCCTACCCCGCAGCGGCTGCAATAATGCTCGGAAAATGCTGTAAGGCAGACCTTTCGGATGGTAAAAAACATGGAACAACGTATATCCTCAGTGTCAAAGAACTGAACGAGCGCAGCTCCCTCCCATCGATTCTGAGAGAACCGAGTGGGGCTGGCAGTGACTGCAAGCACAACAAGAGCGGAGTTGGACGGAAAGCTAAACGCTTTTCCGGCTCTCCACGCGCCCTTGGACGACCCACTGCCAGAACTGCAATTTGGTTAGCGCTACACGGGTCTCAGGCTTCCCCGCGGCATCTTGCTGGAGCTGCTGCGGCTAAAGGCAAGCGGGGGTGTTTTTGTTAAACTACGGGAACGATGGTTAAACACCACTGCTAAAGCAGCGAACTGTCAAAGTCATTTCATTTATTTCTTAATATCACAGCTGTACAGTTTCCATACATACAGCAGGAAATGCGCATTGGTTACACAATGGCATTTGGCTGCATTTCCAAGTATAATACAGTAAGTGCAACTCCACTTAAAATGTACATTTATACAACTCAAACAAATTAAGGATTGCTACGCTACCATCTGTGACAGTATAAAGCTTCATTTGTGTCAGGTCTTCTTACTAACCCACTTCCTGGTGAAATATAAAACATGGTCGATCGTTTTAAAACGGCCCTTGCGGTACTCGGCCAGCGTATAAAATATCTGTTGTGTAAAATTTAACCATTACCTTTTGGGGTTGGTTTTTCTTCTTTTTTTTTTAAATAATCCTCTAAGACTATTTAAACATTTGCTGTCCAACTGTTATACTGACACTTTGTAGCAGGAACCAAATTTTACCCTCCTTTTGCTTGCTCTCGCACCGCTTACCACGGGGCAGAAGCTGCAGTTGCGACGTACCGCAGCCTGACCCAGACACCGCCGGCCGGCTGAACTATTTAACAGCTTTGCTCAGAAGGGAAGTACCATTCTTCAGTAAAGAAAACAAAATTACGTTTCAGAGATATTTGTCATCAAAGCTTTAATGGGTGGAGTGCTACCAGCACTGGAGAAAGAAAGAGGGAAAATAAAAACAAAAACAAGGTATTAATTTATTTTTTAAGACCCAACCCGAATATTCAGTTTAAACTCCCATAACTTCACTTTGGGAATACCTTGGTCCACAGACCACGTTCTTGTTAACGGTTTACCAAACGCAAAACAAAACTGCTTATTGCCGTCCCTATAACAGGAATGGTTCAGTTTTAAACCTCCTTTAAAAATATACATTTTACAAGCCCTTCACCTCAACAAAGGTGACACTAACAATAAATACATTGGTTTGGTGGTTTGATTTTTCTTCGTTACAAACTACCTATTGTAGGCCCTTTCTTTTTTAGACTTCTCCAACGCCTTGTCCATAGTTTTCTCGTTTTCTCCCCTACATTTGGGGCAGTACCATTTGCCCTTTGGTTTGTGATTGAGTCCCACGCAGGAGAAATGAAACCACTCAATGGGGCACTCATCGTTATCGCACCCTATCATTTCTCCATAGGAGACTTGGTTGCACAAGCAGTACGTTGGCTCATTAGGGTCAATGGGGAGGTCTGGGGGAGAAGCCTCCCTCTCCGCTTTAGCCTTGGATCGTTTCTTCTTCTTGGATGTTTTCGCTTTCTTCTCCTTTGGAGTTCCTGAGGTGATGTCATCGTGGTCATGATTATTTGAAGCGTTCTCTCGATTCTCGTTATTTCGTTGCCGCCTCGATCTCTTATTGTTGGGCTTCTCGGCCTGCGCGATTGTCTCATTCTTGGACTTATCTTGGCTGGCTTTCCCGCTGTTTCCAGTGGTATCATTAGTCTCTTGACAAGTCTCAAACAGTTCCACGTGGCTGTCCACTTGCCTGGTTCTGTTCTCAACCAGCTCCACCATCTGACTGACAATTTGGATCTTCTCATCCCCCAGTTCCTGACTCCGAATTAAGGCCCTCTGTATGCAGTGCAACATTCTCCTCTTCTGCGCAGCATCTGTCTCTCGCTTAAATTTTTCATAGTAATCATCCAGGTCCTTCAGAATCTCTGCAAGGAAGAAATAAAAAACTGTAAATATTTTCGACAGGAGGGGTGGCGAAACAAAGCCTTCCCATATTGTTCCTTCCACGCAGCAACCCCACTCTGGACCGCACAAAGCTGAGCAAAGGCGGACTCCCTGGAGCTGGGACGTGACAAATGTCTCCAGCAGATTACTTTTGTTCTGGCTGGTCCTGCAGGAACAGAACGCAAATGAGGATTTAGGAAAAAAAGTGGCCGCAATTTGCATACGCAACTAATAGTTACCCTGTGATTTAGGTCTTCTCTTGCCTGGGTAGATTTTTTGAAGACACGCATTCCAAATTTCCTGCGAAGATGTGGAAAGCTTATGCAAGCCTTACTTCAGTTTTCAGAGCTGCAGCCTATGCTTCTCACATCAGTGAAGCACAACCTGTCAGCGGGTACTGCAATATAACCTATCTGACCAAAATTAGTATTGTGATATGTTATTAACTATCCTAAGCAAATGCCTTTTTTCTAAGGATAAAACCAAAACCTTCCAACAAAACAAAAAACCCACCAAAAAGCCGCAAAACGCCCATCCAAAAAAACCCCACTCCTACCACCACCAGCAAATGACATCCAGATGTGGAGAATAAGCATTCAGGAAGGTGAAAAATCCAGCATTAATTATTCTCAATGCCTGAAACGCAGAAGTTTTCTGTTCTAACTTTTGGCACTAGACCAATGCCATCAGCTTAACCCATCTGATTCTGGTATGCAGGCATCGTTCGTGAGGAATACTCTCTTGAGACAGCAAAATAACTAGTGACTTAATGACTTAAGTCAGGCATTATGAAAACTTCCAATTCTAGTACCGCATATACACACCGAAACTACGGCACCACAGCACCTCCTGAACCTGCTGTATTATGCAGGAGAAACAGCTGGCTGCAACGGTCCCGAATTCTGCGAAGCCCTGCCGAGCGCGTCCTCAGGCACCCAGAGGTTTAGCATGTACCACAAGGCGCGAGGTGTGCCTTTTCACAACCCCACGCCAACAGAAAGGGCTGCTCAGCACCAGTGTCGCACACACGTCATTCAAGCAGTGCGCCAGCTACGAGAAACAGCTTGACAGCTGTCTACTACCGCTCAGAGGAGGGTTGCACCATCGCTCCTGACACCAGCACGCTCAGCTGAAGTTGCCCGCCCTAAGGGGGCTGCGTTTATAGGAATTCCAGAAAACTGCTTTCCCCTGGCGTGCTGCAACAGAACGACCAGAAAGCAGGGGTTTGCGCGATTTGCGCGTTACGCAACTGTTCACCAGCTGCCGATGCGCCGCCCCAGCACCGCAAACACCATTCAAACGCCACAAAACCCCAGGTGCCCTATGCTGCGAAAGCTTTATTCCCGCAGCCCTCGCGGGGACTGAGACACCGCCGTGACGGCTGTATGCCCACGCACCCCGGGCCACCCTTCCACACCGCTGCCAGGGCGGCCAGCACGGAGCCACCGAGGCTCCCGAGGGGACGGTGGGGGCGGCAGGCACCTCGGAGCCAGGCCGGGAGGCCGGCGATACCCGCACAGGCTCCCTCCGCCGTGGGGACA